CTATCTGAAGTGTACCTGGCGTATAAGACGACCCCCCACTTGGAGGCATATTTTTCAGGGCCAAAAAATCGTCTTATACGCCGGCAAATACGGTAGATACAAGGATGGTTATTTTTATGAATTGAATTAATTGTCCACAAGACAAAGTAGAAAAAATGGTGAAACGTAAGAGCCAAATACAAAGAGAGGGGAAAAAAAACTATGAGGAAAAATATACAAGACTTGGAATACAGATCCACGATACCCAGAATATGAATAATAGGAGTTCTAAAAGGAGACAAACAGATGAAGAAACCATAGTTACACAGAACATTTACCTGACTTAAAAAAAATCTGAGCCAACAAATTGAAAAGTTCACTGAGTTCCAGGTAGAATTGAAAAAAAAAATTTTTTAAGAGTCACAGTTAGGTGGCTCTTTTATATTTTATATTCTGAAAATATTCAGAATATTTTATATTGTGATATTATATTTTATATTCTGATAAGATTCCTGAACTCCAAAAATGAAGAAAAAAAATCTTACAAGTTTCTAGGTACAAGGAGCTAGGGTTCCTGTCAGCCTTGACATTTAATGGGAGGAAAGGCCTTTAAGTCAAGAATTCTATACCCTTTCAATTTATCACTCACCCTTCAGGGTGAGGGAAGGATGATTATCGACTTGGTGGGAATTCAATCTTTCATCCAAGTGCCTGATCTGGGGAAAATGCTAGAGAGAAGACTAACCAAAACACATTGAGTTTGCCCAGAGACCCTAAGATAGGGGAAAATGAAAAGGAGACGTGCAAAGATAATCAATGGCCCTTAAGAAAAGATCTTTTGGGTTGTTGGAAAAGTCATGATATATTTTTCTATGTTTTTCATTGCAAAAATGCGTCATGACTTTTCCGACAACCCAATATATCATTTCATGTAAATAGGTATTAAGAAATGCTTGGAACTAGGTCATGGAAGTGCTAAAAAAGAAAAAAAATATTGGAATAGAAGAGACGTTCTACAGGCAAAATTCTAATGATAGCCCAACTAGAAGTATCGAGTTATTTTAGCAAAACCTAGTTGAGGTGAGGAAGGGCAAAAGGAGAGAAAAGTAAAATCCTTTCAAATAAGTCATCTGGGCTTGAAGGATGGAGTGAGGACAAGGTGGTATAAGTGTCACGTGTTGAGTAGAGGGGGCGTGTCTCGTGGGTAAGAACAGAGCCTGGAGTAGATGTGGGTATGTTTATGAACGTTGGGAAAAGGAGGGTAACCATTCATGGAATAGCAGTGTCCAGGAACATTCTCCAGTTAACAAGGGGAGGGAAAGCAAACAATGGTAACTTGATTAAACTAATCAAAATCAGAAAAAGGAGAAAGGAAACAATACCAAAAAGCAACATAAATTGTAAATATAAAGTGAGATGAAGGGATGAATGAAAACACAAAATAAAGCAGCATAGTGTCATGATTGAAAGCAGTCTGTGGAGCCAGACTCCCTGGCTCAAACCCCAGCTCAGTCAGTTTTTGACTGGGGCTTTGGGCAAGTTCCTTAACTGCTTTGAGGTTTCACCACCTGAGGAATGGGGATGATAATACTGCCTCATAGGGTGTTGTGAGGATTAAATGAGTTAACATACCTAAAGCACTTAGAACAGAGCCTGGTGTACAATTAGATCAAACGAGTGTTTGCTTTATTATTTCTAAAGCATAGTATAAATGTTAATATTAGGTAAGCTGAAACAATATTAAAAGCACTAAATCACGTAAAGAAGGTTATTATATAATGGTTATGGCCACTTATCATAAATCTGTAAGTACCAAATAAAATGGCAGCTAAATATATATTAACAAGTATTAAAAATGTGATAACTTGATGAAAATACTTTACAGTAAGAATTCATAATGCCTCTATCACAGCTGGAGAGATTCAGTAGATAAAAATACGTAAGATCTAGGAAAAAACGAATAATGGAATCAGCAAATTCAGTCTAACAATTTTAAGCCTTTTGTTCCTTGAATAGCTTTTTTTTTTAAGTTAAAGTTTATTGGGGTGACAATTGTTAGTAAAGTTACATATATAGGTTTCAGGTGTACAACTCTGTAACACATCATCTATATATCACATTGTGTGTTCACCACCCAGAGTCAGTTCTCCTTCCATCACCATGCAGTTGATCCCTTTTACCCTCCTCTACCACCCTTGAATAGCTTTCCGCATGGAACATTTAAAAAATCAATCATAACTAGATGGGAGGAGGTTGGGGGCTGGGTTAGAAAGGTGAATTAAGAAGTGCAAATGGGTAGTTACAAAACAGTCACCGGGATGTGAAGTATAGTATGGGGAATATAGTCAATAATATTGTAAAAACTAGACTTACCGAGGGGATCACTTTGTAAATTATATAAATATCTAACTAATGGACTGTAAACCTGAAACTAATGTAAAATAATATTGAATGTCGACTATAAAAATATAGTCACAGAGATATAAAGCACAGCATAAGAAATATAGTCAATAATATTGTAATAACTGTACAGTGTCAGATGGCTAATAGACTTATCGGGGTTATCACTTTGTGAGTCTAATCACTCTGTTGTTTCATGTGTCTGAAACTAATAAAAAAAATCAATCATGTGCCACAATTTGAATGTCTTAATACATTCAAAACATTAGCTATATTACAGACCATGTTTTTAATCATAATCCAGCACAATTAGAAACAGTAAAAATGATGAAAAACACTTAACTGCTTGAAAATAAACACAATTAAGTAATCCTTAGATCAAAAAGGCATTCAAAACTGAAATTAAAACAATAAAAAAGAAAACACTTCACAACCAACCTATGGACACAGAAAACATTATACTAAAAAAAAAAAGTCTTCATTATTAAAGAAAAAATAATAAAAATAAAGGAACTTAGTGTTCATCTTTTAAAATTAATAAAAAAGAATACAACAAAAGAAAGCAAGCAAGAATTGATAAAATTTAAGCTGACATCAAGCAAATGGAAAAATGGTTTTAAAAAATGGTTGTAAGGGAACGGATACAAGAAACCAAAAGCTTTTTCTTTGAAAAGAGAGAGAAGGTGGTAGTGGTGAGGGGGAGGGTGAAGGACAGAACATGGTAGAGGAAGTGGGGTGGGGAGGAAGAGGTGTTTTGCAAAGAATAAGGACATGTTTAAAGGAAACATCTGAACCCTTTGCTTCTGAGAGGTCTCCTGCTACCTAGGACTCAGGTTTTCCAGTCTTGTCTGTCACAGTGCTTCAGCCTCAGAGTCTTTCCTGTTTCAGGCAGGCAGCTTTGCAGAGCTCTGGAGTCAGGCCACTCGGTCAGGCCTGGCTAGCCACTTGCTCCCTGTGTGACTATGGACGTATCATTTCAGCTGTTTGTGCCTCACTTCCTGGTGGGTAACATGGGGGTCCTGCGTGGCTCCCTCCCGGGGGTCCTGTGTGGATTTGGTCCATGTCAGTAGCTCCTACTACATGCTCAGTAAGCCCCAGGGACAGCCTCATCATGTCTGTAGTTCCTGTGAAGATTTCCCAGGAGGGAAGCTGCACGAGGTCGTGCTTCTATGTTGGGTCACTTAATCTTCTGCTTTCATTTCATGTCTTTCCTATGAGGCACCGTTCTGCCAGTCCAGTATAAATACTGTTATCAAATAAGTACTGTTATTGTTATAGAAAGAAGACTGGCATTTGCTGTGTACTAGGCATTGTGCTAAGTGCTTTATATGCATCATCGTATGTACTATTCACAGTGGCCTTAAATATAGTTACCATTCCTATTATCAGATGAGGAAAAGGAAGCTCAGGAACTTTACACGTTTGCCCAGGATCACACAGTAGGGGGAACCACAATTTGGACCTGTTTGTCTGGTGCCCCCCTCCCCTCCTTGCTCTTGGTTTATTACTTCCTAATAAATATAAGGATTGACTATCAAAAAATAGCCTGGAAGTGGTGGGCAGAGCTTTGAAGTATATACTGAGTCCAGGGTCCTTGTCTGGGCCTTGCCTCTCCTGCAGCTGGACCTCCATCAAGCCATTCGGCATCCAAGTCTCAGTGTTTTTATTGGTAAATTAACGGACTTGGTGTGATCCCTAAGGTCTCCCTCTCTTTCTAAGCCCCTGGTTCTCTGTATATATCAGGTGACTGTTAAAAAGGTGCCTCTTAGGGGCTGGCTGAGTGGCTCAGTTGGTTAAGAGCTCACTCAAGAATTTGAGCTCTGAGCAACAGTGGTTTGAATCCCAGCCCCAGCTGAGCAGTCGCTGAGCAGCCGCTGAGCTGCTAACAGGTGGCAGGATGGCTCAGCTAAATAAAATATAGGTGCCTCTTACTTATGCCCAAAGTATGACATGGTTTTGTGGCATCATGTAAATTCTCCAGTGATTCCCTTGTGGTTTTTTGGGTTGCCCAGGTACTCCAGGAGCAGATCCGTGCCCGAGACAACATTAGCTACGGAACTAATTCTGCCTTAAAGACTCTGGAGCTGCGTCAGCTCTCTGGTTTGGGAGATCTTCGAGGGAGAGTGGCAAGGTAGGTGGTCAAATGTTTGGGACTCTACTCCTCAAAAGCTGTTTTTCATAAACTTCATTTTAGTGGGGAATATATTCATGATGCCCCAAAGTACATTCTTTGCATCCTTCTCATACATCCCCTCCTTTGTCCATTAAATCTAACGGTGGGAGTTAGACCAGGTTATGAGCCAGCCGTGATTTCTTGTGTGTCTGCGATTGGAGTTGTGTGTGTGGGAGGAAGTGATGGGGCTGCTCAGCTGACCTGCGTTGTTGGCAGGGGAAGATTATGTTTATTGAATCCAATAATACAAAGGTGGGACTTAAATTTTGCATGTCTTTTTAAAAATTTCATTTTTCTTTTAATTTCTTATTATTTTTCCATTACAATTGATATACAACATTATATTAATTTCAGGTGTACAACATAGTGATTAGACCTTTATATACCTTCCTTACAAAGCAATCACCATGATAAGTCTAATATCCACCTGGCACCATATGTAGTTATCACAACATTATTGACTATATTTTTATTTTATTTTCTGAAAGTATTGGTCCGTGATAGATTGTAGATTTTAAAAAGAGCTCTTTCACCTCAGGTAGTATGAAAAGTGCTGCTCTAATGCCTCACTACTTAAGTTGTGCTCGGTGGACCCACACAGCCTCTCTGTCACCTGGGAGCTTGTTAGAAATGCCAGCAGTCCCTAAAGCATTTACTGGCCTCTTCTGCCCTCTGCCGCTATTAAGTGTCAAGTACAAGTGTACACAGGAGTTGTGGAGCTCACAGGCAATTCAAATCAACCTGAGGTGAAGTCGAGAGTGGTCTGCAAAGGGTGGGAGTAGAAAAAAGAGACTCACAGGATCCAAGGCGTCGTTGAAGCAGAGGGCAGTAGTGTGAGGGTGTATTTGTGCAGGCCCCTGAAGGGCCTTGCATGCTGGGCACGTGTATTTGGTCCTGCTGGATGAACATCAGTCTAATAGCAGAGGGCTCCATGGAGTGAATAAAGGCCTGGTTGACCACTCTTCTGTGGTTTTTCTATCCTCGTTCAAGTGAACTCCAGTCTCCTTAGTGTGACCATTGGGGTGGAAACACTCTGAACTCCTCACCTCTCGTCACCTTTGCACTGTACCTTTCAGTGGTGATCCACTGCTTGAAGCCATGGTCTCCTATCTCCTTGCCTTTGCACATGCTATCTTTATACCCAGCATGCCTTTCCCCCTTCTTTTCCAACTTCTAGACAGCCTTTAAAATCAGCTCAAATGTCACCTCCTCCAAGAAGTCTTTCCTGATACCCCACTCTCCGGAGCTCCCCTAGCATTCTCTGCTCTATTTAATCTCTCTGTTGTCTTCACTGTCTTGGGGTGGAGTACTATCTTTTATTTTTTGTGTCTGGAACAGTGTCTAGAAAACAGTAGATAAAAAATGTTTGTTTGGATGAATGAATGATCTAGAAAATCAATGTAATAGGATGGAAAAAACGAATTCCTTTATGTGGAGATCGACTTAAAAGAACCCCCAGCTCTGTGAAACTTCTCAGAACAGTGAGGCGTTAGAGGAACTTCAGAGTTGCAGGGCAGAGTAAGGGCTGCAGGAGAACTTTGGGGATCTTCCCTAGTCACTTGAGTTGCAGATGAAGATTAAGTGAGGCAATATATGTAAGAGGCTTGGTGCAGTGCATGGATGGTGTGAACATACAGCAAATGGAGCTATTATCGTTATCTCAGGGGCAGCAGCAGTAAAATTATCCTCAGTGGTGAAATCATCCTGGTTCTAATTACAAAATGGAGAAATCATTTTGAAATACTTTTAGTAATTTTACATTTTTCTACTGCTGTTTCTTATTAACTTCTCTACCCAGCTTGTTCCTTCTCTGTAACAAATACTTCTCCTTGGAAACGACCAAGAGTGTGTTCTGAGCACCACATATTTTTGTTTTGTTTTGTGGCTATATTCGTCTTTCCACTATAGTGCTAATGAGACATTGATTGTTGAAATAAACTTGTGAAATAAAAATTCTTTAGCAAAGTTTTGGCTTTCTTGCATTGATTATGTTATTGTATTGACGAAGTATATATGAACTTTTTAAGCGATCTCCTTAAATTACTAACTAGCCTGCTATATTGTTTCAGATTTTATTCTGTAGTGTTTTGGATCCGTTGGTGATATAATTGATGGGGAACTTGCCCTGACACCCACCTCGTGGATCCAGCTCGGAGGGCCCAAGGGAGAGTCACCATTGAAGTGAGAGATACCCTTACCCCCGCTAAGCATAGCACACCCTACAAAGGACTTTCTCAGAGTTACCCATTTCTCTTAAAGCAGACCTCAGAGAGTTTAACTTTACCATTCTTACCGGAATATTTGGTCTGTCTTCTTCATTTTTCCAAATCTCAGTGGCCCCATCCACTTTCCTCTGTGAGGTCTGTTGCATGGTGCCAGAGACTTAGAGAAGTATCTGTATACGGAGGCAGTTGCAGAAGTTTCCATGAGGTAAGCAAGCCCAGGTGCAAAGAAAAAATAGATAAATTGGACAGCATCAGATTAGAGATTTGGGGCTATTATAAGTAACACTGTTATGAACATTTACATACAAGTTTTCATGTGGTCATAAGTTTTCATTTCTCTTGGAGAATATATCTATATCTATATCTATAGATATAGATATATACTTAGGAGTTGAATGATAGGGTAATTCTATTTTTAACCTTTTGCGGAACAGAACAGCCAGAGTGTTCTCCAAAGTGGCTGCACCATTTTACGCTGCCAGCAGCAGTGTGAGGGCTCCAATCTCCATATCCTCACCAATACTTGTGTGTCCTTTTGATTATAGCCACCCTGGTGGGTGTGCAGTGGCGTCTTGGGGTTTGGATTTGCATTTCCCTTAATGGCTAATGGTGCTGAACATCATTTAATGTACTTATTGGTCATTTGTATCTCTTCTTTGAAGAACTGCATTCAGATCCTTTGCCCATTTTTAAATTGGATTATTTGTCTTTTTCTTACTGAGTTGTAGGAGTTCTTTGTATATTCCAGATGTAATTCTCTTATCAGATATATGATTTGAAAAAAATGTCCCCATTCTGTTTTCTTTTCGTTTTCTTGAGTATATTTGGTTGTTTAAAAAAGTGTTTCTTTTTATTTATATTCTCTCCTTAATGAAACATTGTCATTATACCTTCCTTTACTTTTTTTTNTTTTTCCCTCTTGGTCTTTATCTATTGCACAAAGTGGAAACAATACTGGAAGTTCAGAGGAAAATTTTCCGTGTAGCACGCTGTCACTTTACCTTTCTAATGTTTGTTTTTAGTAGTTGGATAATGATGCATCTGTTGATTCAACATATTTATTGAGCACTGGCTGAGGTGCTGAGGATCAGTAATGAAGAAAAACAGACTCTGCTCTTATCCTTGTGGAGCTTATAGTCTAGGGAGTGTATGAGCATTAATCAAATAATGACTAAAATAAGCATTTACTATATTATTACTAATGGTGATAAGTGCTTTGAAAGAAAGGCACATAACTGTGGTAGGCTGAATAATGGTCCCCCACATATCACCGCGTCCTAACCCTTGTGAATATGACATCTTACATGGCAAAAAGGAACTTTGCATATGTCATTAAGATTTCTAAATCAGTAGATTGCCTTGGGTCGTTTGGGTGAACCTGATGTAACCCTTAGAGTCCCTGTAAGAGGGAGGCAGGAAGATCAGAGTCAAGAGAAAAGGCCACGTGACATAGAAGCAGGAATTGGAGTGATGTACTTTGGAGATGGAGGAAGGGGCCACAAGCTATGGGAGCTGGAAAAGGCAAAAACATGATTCTCCCCTCAGGGTCCCCAGAAGGAACCACCCCTGCTCACACCTTAACTTTTGTCCAATGAAACTGATTTCAGACCTCTGGTGTTCAGAACTGTAAGAGAATAAACATGTTGTTTTAAGCCACCAAGTTTGTGGTAAGTTGTCACAGCAGCCACAGGAAACTAATACAGCAGTGCTTTGAGAATGAGTAACAGAGGGCTGGTTGTAGGCCTCCCTGAAGAGGCGATGATGTTTGAAGTAAGAGCTGAAGAATGAATGGAACTCACTAGGTAAAGAGTGAGGTAAGAACACAGGGGGTGAAGTAGGCTATCTGTGGAGAAATATGGCGTAGAGAAACTGCAAGATGGCAAAGGTGGCCCAAACAGAGATGTGAGGCTGGAGAGAATGCGGGCCCGCCAGCAGGGCCTGGTAGGCTAGTCAGGACTTTGTGTTTCTATCTTTGGAGCAGTAAGGAGCCACTGCAAGATTTTTAGCAGATAAACCGATATAATCAGATATATATTATTTTTTCCATGGACGTTGATTGCACTTGGAAATGGATCACAAGGGGCTGAAGTAGTGGTGGAAACATCAGGGGGCACTGTTGCAGTACTAGGTGGGAGAGGTCTGCACTACGGTGATTTTGAGCTATCTAGTTAGTGCACTATAATTTGTTANATCGCGCCACTTGGCCAGCCCCTTCCTTTACTTTTTAAAGCATGTTTTCTTTATTCCTTTGATCATGTTATATTTATAATGGCTGCCTTCAGTCTTTGTCTTTTAAATTTGACATCTGTGCTCTCTCACAGGCAGCTTCTTTTGCCTGCTTTCCCCCCTGTGTATAGCTCACATTTTCCTGTTTCTTTGCATGTCTCAAAATGTTTAATAACAGGACATTTTAGGTAATGTATTGTAATCCTGGATATTGACACACACCCCTGGGTTTGTTTTTGTTGTTGTTTGTTTATTTGGTGAGTTGGTTGGACTATTTTAATGACGTCTATTTCCCCTGCAATGTGAAGCCTCTGATGTCACTCCGCAGAGGGTGCACCATCACCCTGCAGTGACAGTGGTGTTAGCAAGGCTCTCTTTGACTGTCTCCTTCCTTGATGTTTTATTAAGCTGTCTGCCTCTGTTGGTATTACACCCAAATCTTATCTCCACTAATTACTGACAGATTGCTCTGCTGTTTTGTTTGTTTTTTTGTCTTTTTTTTTAGCT